TTTTAATCCTATCCATTCTATTCCAAAGGTTAGGGCGTTTCTTATCTCCATTCCAAGGTTACTCTATTGTTCTATTAAGCTACAAGGAAGTAACTGAAGGAGATTATCCTAAGTAAAGATTATGTAGCTCAAGCATGATTGTTTGTAGTTAAAGTGATTAATTACCCACCTGGCACTTAGTTAAGGGGTTTTATTCCCTCCCTAACTCCAGGGAAAAATCCCCACCTGGGGAAACAACCTTTCTCGGAGAGGTGACCTTGGTTAAAACACAGTGCTAAGAAGGGGAGCAAACATATTAAGAACAGTATGCCATATATGCCAGGTCCCTTGAAACATATGCTGTGCAGATGTTCCTTCCCTGCAGAGACTGTGTGAAGCAGCAAGGATGGACCGGATTCGGGCAAATTCCCCATTTTTTAAATGATAGCGCGTGTAAATCAGCGGCCACCTCTCAGATTGGGTTGTTTAAGACTCGGAAGAAGACTGACAAGCAATGATAGGGAGCATAGCAATAAACATAGTGGATGGAGTGCACACAGAGCCTTGTTCCTGTGGAAGGTTGCTGGCCTCTTCAGTCAAGGGATTTCAGCTGTCCTCAAGTCGGGGGTTTGGTTGTCCTTGTTGATCTCGCTAGCAGGAGGCGTCATTGGCGACAGGCTTCAGCACGTTTAAGGGCTGGATCAAAGGGTCCATCAGGGTCGTGCTTGATGGTGGTGTCAGTGTCCGGGGAGGAATCAGCTGTGCCCTCTGGGTCGGCCCATATGGATGATACCGGGGAGGAGGAGGCTTAGGCAGAGATGGAGGGGGGTGAGACATAAGGTCTGACTAGATGGTCTGGAATCCACACAGGTGAGTCTGCGTCCTGTGGAAATAGACAAGCATATCCTCTCCCCCGGGTTAAAAGTACATCAGGTCCCTTCCAGGCTCCTGTAAGCAAGTCTCTCCATTTGACGAGGACTTTAGGTTTAGTTAGATCAGGGTTCCAATGCCTGTACATCGGGGAATTTCCCTCAGAATCTACATTTAGTATATTAATTACAAATAGAGTATGTTGTAGAACATGATGAGGAGAGGAATATTTAAACTCATTTTCTTGTAATTTTTTAATTTGTGTTTTTAAAGTTTGGTGAGCCCTTTCTACTATTGCTTGGCCTTGAGGATTGTAAGGTATTCCTGTAGTATGTGCGATGCCGAATGTAGAGCATAAGTTTTTAAAAGCTCTAGAGGTATAGGCAGGCCCATTGTCTGTTTTAAGTGCCCTTGGTATTCCTAGGTAGGAAAAACATTGGAATAAATGTTGACTTACATCTTTAAAGGCTTCTCCTGTACGTGCAGAAGCAAGGATAACATGAGAAAAGGTATCAATACAAACATGCACATAGCAAAGTTTGCCAAAAGATGGGACATGAGTAATATCCATCTGCCATAAGTCACAGGGTCTAAGTCCTCTTGGATTAACTCCAGTAGCAGGGCTAGGAAAATGAGTAGGACCCTCCCCTCCTGCCCCTCAACCCGCCCCGGCCTTCCCGCTGTAGTTTGACAGTCTGTTCCAGGCTGCTCTGCCTCTGTATCTATTTTTGTTCATAAGTTTATAATGGTCTTTATAGAGTGACATTTTGCTAGGTTTCCTTTCAGAGTCGCTGCTCCCGCTGTCACCAAGCTGCTGCTCAATGCCCGCTAAGTAGTTCTCATAGTCCTTAAAGACAGGCGTCAGGTCGCACAGCGGGTTCGCGTTCACATGCTTCACGATCCAGTCCTGCACACAACAGTTCAAGGCCGCCAGTTGCTTGTGGTAGGCATTCCCTTGGTGAGTGGTGCTCAAGGCAAGACCAGAGGACTGCTGACTGTCACCATTCCTTTTGGGGTTTGAAATCTTATTATCAACCAAGGAGGCGGGACCATTTGCAGCAACAGATCCAAAGGCCACCTTGGTCTCAGTGGCAGCTCTCGCACTGGAGAAGGGCGGGGCACCTGTCATGCTGTTTCCATTGGACAGTCCTTCCAAAGGCTTCCCTCCAACACAAGCACCGAATCCAGAAAAGCCTCCTCCTCCAGAAGGTGCCACCAGCCCTTTAAAGCCTTTAAAGGCCCCTCCACCATCAGATTCACATCCAACATTTCTACACTTTGCTTTCTTTATGGCTCTATTCTTCAAGATTTCCCCACTGGCCACTGAGAATGTTCCCACATCTTCGACTTCATCTTCTGGATCCCAATTCCTATCTGTCAGTTCCTTCTCAGCAATTCTTTTGGTTATTTCTTTTTTCTGTTAGGTTGTAGGAATTTATTTTAAATAACCTACAGTTGATTAAAAGGGAATTCATGATAAAAATAGAAGATACTTGAGGAGAGATGTGGGAAATGACTCTGCACGCACACTAAACTAACAATGCCTCTAAAACTAATGATTATAGCAAAAAATGTTTTCACATTAAAATTCTGCTTTTTATGTGTTCTTTTTTTCCATTTTTTTTACACAATTACAAAAGAAAAAAATAAAAGCCCTAAAATCTTGATTATTTTTCATTTTTTGGACCAAATACTCATTTTCCTCTAGACTTATTGACCTGTGACACTTTTTGTACGATAAAATCTTTCAGGTGAAAGACTGGGGTTTAAAATGAAAAAGATGTTAACTGTAAGGGTAAAGAAAATGCTCACAACAAAGGATGATGGGAAAATGGTTTCAGTCACTGATTATTTCATTATCTTTAGACTCACTCACCCCTCATCCCTCCCCGACCCCAATTTACACGATCTTTAAGATCAAGAAAAAGGTTTAAATATTTTAAAATAATTTAAAAGAAATAAAAATTCACATTTAAAAAGAAACACTCAAGTCAGGAAATATTTTCCCATCATGCTTTTCTGTGAACAGGTGTCTGAACCAAAACACTGCCAATGTCACAACTGCTTCAAGTTTAATGAAAATTGATTCCCATGACAATAGATATTGACAACTCTTAACAGGTGCGCCGGGTTTTTGTTCTACTTAATTTTAAATTCCTGAAATGGGGGAGAGGGGAGGGAGTTTAGGAATTCATTTCTATTAAAATATACAAGTTATTGCAAAACCCTAACTGTAAAAATGCACCAATGTAATCGGATTTTGTATACAGTAGCTAAGAGAATCCAAATGTGTCAGTGAAACAGTGAATTTGCCTGGCAGAACTCTGACAAATTCCCATCCACTTGCCCTCTTGAAAATAAAAACAAAATTCAAAACAAATCATACAGCTAGAATTTTGATATCTGAAATATTTTTAAATAAGTTGTCCATAGGACAACTGGCTCAGCTCTCCCTTATAATATCTTCAGGTTTATCTTTTCTCAAAGATGTTGGTTTGTTAAGACTTGCTGCCTCTCCCCCATCAGGTGTGAGGGCAAGCGAGGCTCACAGTTTATCCATCTTCTCCAAACCACACTGTTCCTTTTCACAGAACTGCTCTTGTGGCTTAAAAGCTCAGTACCAGGCAGAGTCAGAGGAAGGAGAAAGGCACATAGAAGAGAAACAGTATCTATTTGTTTGCATGTCAGTTTCTCCCTAGCATTCAAAAGATGTTTGAAGAAGAGCTACATAAAATATGATTCCCTGTGGAATGTGCAAAAATAAAAATAGTTGTGCTGGAATTGGGGGGAAATTAACTACCATTGTTTCATCTTTTCAATTTGATACAATCTAATTTGGAAATAATTGTATTTCTGGGCTGTGGCAAGGAATTGTGAAGACTTTATCTATTATCCTCGTGTATAATAAAGACAATTAGCAATATTTCAACCTGAGCTTTTCAAAATGGGAAGTGGCCAATGCAGAACTTGTGCACACAGAATGAGCACCTTCTGAACAGTGGGTACCAGGCACTCTAGTGTCTTCCTCAGGGATGACTGCTATCAGTAGTTCCATTTGTTTAGCTCTAGTGTAGACCTTTCTTCCAGAACAGACCCAGAACTGGCCTTCTGATATTCCAGCCTGGCATGCTGAATTAAAAATGCCTTTTGTTTTCAGAATATCAACTCATGGCGGACAGTTCTCTTCATTTTGCTACTCCACCATCCAGATTCAAAATACCTTAGATTGCAAGTTCATCATGGACTTCTCAAAAGTTTTTGGTGGTGCCCTCTGATGGTTACAAAGAATTGCAACAGCTCGGTTGGCACGGTTATAAGATAGGATCTTTGCTGGGATGTTCTCATCCGGGGCTGTGAGTTCTTTTAGCTCCTGCTGTAGCGTCATGGAGGCATTGTAGGTACGGAACACCTTAGCAGTCAAGCCCTCCATGAGATCCTGAAGATGCTTATTTAAAATAGCAGTATTGAGTCTATCAAAAAGATCATCCTCAGGCTGTTTGTTCTCCATAAATAGTTGTAAGTTCTTAAAAACTCGTTTCTCAACAGGGACTTTGTTATAGTATCTGATTGAATCCTTCCCAAGGAAGTCAAACTCGACCACATATTCCTGACCATCCAACTCCGGGTGCAGATTGATATGCTCCACGCGCAGCGAGCAGCAACCCACAGTGTCCGCTGTTTCTCCTTCCTCTTTCTCATTGCCTGCTCTCAGAGCAAGCTTGTCGATGAAGTACAGGGCAACAGCTCTCTGCCTGACTTTCATCTCTTTGGACTTCAAGTCTTCTCGATGCTGGTTCCGGATCTTGTCCACACACTTCTTCAGCCTCTGAGCGGTCTTGTATTTCTGCCAGTCTTTCTCACCCTTAATTCTTGAACTGGGGTTCAACATGATGTATTTAATGGAACCCTGGATGTTCTCTGTCCAGGAGACCAGCCAAGTAACCTTATTATCATGTCGGACTTCTTTCCATTTATGACCTGGAGGAGGAGAAGGAACCTTGGCATCTTTGCTACAGTTGATGATTATGTCCTCAGGCATGGTCCGTCTCTTCAGCATGCCCATCTTGGGGTGGTTGCCACGGCCACAGAAAAGTCCAGGTGGTTCTATCTTGAAGTTGGCAATTCTCTCTCTGTGGTTATCCATAATACAGAAACCATATTCTTTCAGTATTTTTTCATTCTCCTCTTTGATTTTCAGTTTCTCTTCCTTGCTCATCTGTTTCTGAGCTTCTGACTGGGCTTTGAAATACTGGCTCATCTGCGTAAAATCACATTTGCTTAGGTTGGTGATAATATTCTCTTCATTAGTCATTTCCTTTCTCCAGTCTTTAAAGAAATTTTTCCTAAATATTTCCTTAGTAGTATATTCATGGTCGAGCATTTTTGCAAAGAACATAGCTACTTCTTCTACTTTGGGGCTCAGCTTCATGACTTTACCATCATAGTAAAACCTGACACTCTCTGGAAGAGGCTCATATGGTGGAGCAAATACAGGACCTTTATGTTCTAGGAATTTCCACTTGATGCCCTCAGGATAACGCTCTTCTTCCCACCATTTCCACTTCTGCTCCTCTTCTTTCTTTGCCTTCTTTTTCTTGCTATCTGGCTCAGGAACTTTTTTATCTTTATCTTTATTCTTGGGCTTTTTCAATTTACTGTCCTCTTCTTCCTCTAGTTTTCATTTCTTCTCTTTCTTGATATCTTCTCTTTTAATTTTCTTAGGTTTAAAATCAGCATCATCCTCATCTCAAGGTCTCTTCAACGGCTTAATATCTTCTTTAGGAGCAAAATAGCCATCATCTTCAGGTTCATCTTTAATTCATGGTGGACTCGAGAAGCCATTTTCCTTCTCCTTCTTTACTTTTGCATCCCCAGAAGCTCTAACCTTTTCCTCCTTTAGTTTTTCCTTGTCTCTGTCTTTATGTTTGTCTTTATGTTTTTCTGAACTTCCATCTTTGTGCTTGGTTTTTTCCTTCTCTTTGTGTTTCTTTTCAGAATCTTTATGTTCACTGTTGCTATGCATGGACTTTTCTCGGTCCTTCTCCTTGTCCTTCTTGTGCTCTTTGTGCCGGTGTTCCTGATCTTTGTGTTTATGAGAATCATTCAATCGGAAATCCGCTTCGATCTGGGAATCATTGTGCAAATGGTCCCCACTCATTTCAGCCGGATCGGCGAGCGCTGCGGGCAGCAAAGGGCGCCGAGGAGACGCAGGCAGTCAGGACCGGCCTGTGCGGGCAGAAGGGGGGCTCTCAGAGGCTCCTGGAGGCACGGGTAAGCGGGGGCGGGGGCGGAGGGTCTGAGCCTCCAGGAACGCTGAGGCTGCTGCGGTGGCGATGCTCAGACTGCTGGGCTGGCAGCGAGAGCAGACCCCAGCAATTGTGTAACAGCCTAAGTTCACATTTCTCTTTTGGCCATTTTTTCAAAGCTCCGGGGCAGCGGCCGTGGGATTTGCCCCACGTTGGGCACCAGATATTGGGGTCCAACCCCAGCAGGTCCAGGGGTTCCCAAAGGTGTGGACGGAGGTGAAGAAGGAATGACACAGAGACGGCCTTCAGTTGATCAGCAGCTTAGCCAGGATCTCTAGCCACAATCTCCAGCCAAGTTCCGGTGTTCATTGTCTTGTTATATCTGTATTTATACCAGTTGATTTTAATCCTATCCATTCTTTTCCAAAGGTTAGGGCGTTTCTTATCTCCATTCCAAGGTTACTCTATTGTTCTATTAAGCTACAAGGAAGTAACTGAAGGAGACTATCCTAAGTAAAGATTATGTAGCTTAAGCATGATTTTTCATAGTTAAAGTGATTAATTACCCACCTGGCACTTAGTTAAGGGGTTTTATTCCCTCCCTAACTCCAGGGAAAAATCCCCACCTGGGGAAACAACCTTTCTCGGAGAGGTGACCTTGGTTAAAACACAGTGCTAAGAAGGGGAGCAAACATATTAAGAACACTATGCCTATAAGAATAACCAATGGGCACAAAACATTGGGGGGTAGAGGAGGCCAGGGGGAAAGTCAAGGGGGAGAGGAGATGTATGTAATGCTCTTTGTAATACTTTAAGAAATAAAAATCTTTTAAAATAAATAAATAAATAATAATAAAAGTATATATAAAAAAAGAACAGTATGCCATATACACCAGGTCCCTTGAAACATATGCTGTGCAGGTGTTTCTTCCCTGCAGCGACTGTGTCAAGCAGCAAGGATGGACTGCCTTCTGGCAAAGAGATCAGGGGCTCCGGGACCAGGCCGACCCGTGCACGCTACCCATCTGTAGACCCTGCTCCCTCATAACCCCATGGCAAGGAAGGACACAGCTCCTAGACTTGGAGGTTCACACCCGGCCCTGGGTCCTTGGCTGCCAGGGGCCCGGTGGCCTCTTTGGAGCTCCAGGCCTCTGGGACATCCTCTCCCAGGTCCCAGCATCTCATTCCCATCTGCCTCTCCCACCCTTGTCCCCGAGCTTCAGGGGACCAGGTCCCAGCAGACCCAGGGCAGGGGTGCAGGCAGGG